TTATAGTTTTCGTCATGTGGATAAACTTCTATCATACTTTTTCAAAACTTTTCAAAATGCTCTAGCCAGTTTTTTGTCGCCTTTTCCGTATTGTTGACATGTGACTTATCTTGATAAAATGAAATTGCTTTCTCAATTTCAATACTTTTAGATGTTTTAGACTGTAAACTTGGATTATTTAGAAGTTCATTGGCAGTATTGAATTGTACGGTTTTATTTGGATCTATTGTAGTTTTTAAAAAGAAGCAAAAATATACTGATCTTTTTTTTTTTTTTTTTATTTAAATTTTTCATTAATGTAAAAGTCTAATTTTTACTAATAGTGACATATCTGTAATACATGATTTTATCTAATCACTGCGTTAGTAACCGGGAAATATATCAGTTATTTACTGCTCAAATCGCTGATAACTCTCAGGGCCCCCACAGCTTCGCCGTGGGGGCCCTGATGATATCTCTGATTTCGCAGTAAATAACTATTACATATCTTATTTATAGTAGTAGTAAACTCTTGGCTGATTTCACATGATAATATATTATTATATATATATATAATTAAAATTCATTGAATTTTAAAAATATTCGATATTAATTAAGATAAATATATCTAATTTGATGCAGTTTCTAATTTGATACATGACAATATCTTGCGAACTAATGATCAGAATCATATAATTTTGGTACCATTCGATTCATCTCATCGAGACGAATTGAATAGTAACAAAATTATTTGGTTCTGATTAATAGTTCTCAAGATACTCTATTTGGCCAAAACAGTTCAAGGTGTCTAATTTGACGCAAATAAACATTTATAGTGAATACTATATGATGTATTAATTAGATTTACAAGATTTTGGTACTGTTCAATTCATCTTGATGAGACGAATCGAATGGTACAAAAATTTTGTAAATTCAATAAATACATTACATGATATCTACCGTAAACTTTTATCTGTATCAAATTAGACACTATATCAAATTAGAAACATTTTTTAGCCAAACTTCAATAAATGATATCTCATAATTTGGTAATTGAAATTGGGTAATTTTGTTGCCATTCAATTTGTCTCAACGAGATGAATCGAATGGTGCCAAAATCATTCAATTCTGATCAGCGAGGCATATGATATTTATTGTAAATATTACCTGTATCAAAATAGAGATACTTATCTTATAGCTTTTTAGATTTTTTAAAATCTTTCGCAATATTTACAAAAATAGCTAGTAGATTTATATCACTTTACTAAAAAGAAATAATATTATTTAAACTTTAATATATTAATGTTAATATAACGAATATAATATGTATATAATAAAATTTTATTTATTGCTCTAAGCTTTATTTGGAATAATTTGAATGTTTTCAATTATTTTAAATTATTAGAAAACAAATAAATATGTTAAAAATTTTTAAATATTAACATAATGAATGTAATGAATATAACAAATTAAATTAAATTGAATGAATATATTTAATTTATTCTTTAGATATAAATTAGATAAAATATCATATTGCTCTTCATATTAAATTTATTGCTTCAATTATATTCTACATATATAATATTTTATCAAAATATTTAAATATTTACAAAATTATTAAAATTATTTTAAAGATGTCTGACTTTAAATACACTTACTGTCCACGCATTTATACTACTCACAATAGATTATCGAAGCATATAGCTAAATATATTCATAAGTATAGAGATAATAAAATTTATTTTGTAAATAATTTTGATGAAAATCACAATAATTTGAATCAAATTAATGATACTATAAATGAAAGTTTAGATATTACTAAAAATAAATCAGAAAAAAAATTTTTCTCTGAAAATAAGCTGATTAAACTTAATGAAATTCAGAATAATTTAATAATTGTGAATAGTAGATCTAATTTAGATATAGGTTCTAGTATAGATGATATGTCATTTGATATAGAGGATTTTGAATAATTTTGAACATTTTTGAAACTAATAAATTATATTATAGATTATATTTCTATATAGTATATTAAATTAAATTTTTAAATATTAATATAACAAATATTATTATTAATTAAAATAAAGGTAAATTACAAATAAGGGCCCAAAACTAAAAATAATTACAAATAAGAACTCAAAATGAAAATAATTACAAATAGAGGCCCGAATTTGAAAATTATTACAAATAAGTGCCCAAAATAATTTTGTGCTTAAATACCCATGATTAAGTCCCGTCAATCAATGACTCGAATGTGCTACATAATATAGTCATCAATTATTAACCGCATAAGAAATGTAATAATGATAAATTAGCAATTTAAATATAAATTCAAATGCATAATAAAAATTGTACATACTTCTTTTAATTCATTCAATACACTAAACATATCTTTAAAAAACCTGTTTAAACCAATTACCATGTTAGATACATTACAAATCAATAATACTTTTACTAATATGAAAAACATTTGCTTAGCCTTGAACAGTTACTCTGTTAAATCCTCTTCACCTTATAAGTTAAGAAATAACAAACCAAACAAGCTATTTGCTATTTGTCCTACAAATGAAAATAGCCCATGTCCTTTAACAAGCGCAAAGATGGTTTTATTATATGATAAAGTTAATTTCTCATAATCCATATAGAATCATTAATCAGTCGATATAGAATCATATGTTCTTGATAATGAAACTTTGCTGCCAACTACAATTAAACAAGAGGATGGCCACGAAACTCAGTTGCGTAGTCATGGAGAAACGGCACCAGAAAATCAGGTTACTTGTAGAAAATGTAATAAAAGGGTCATAATTCGCGTATATATAGTCGAAGACTTAGAAAAAGAAAATAGTATGTGTATTATTTAATATTAAATAGTTTCTATAACATGTAATTAGGCTT